TCTGGAGCCGCAAATCAGCGTGTGAACGCTCGGCCGCGTATTTGTCTCAGATTCGGTATTTCGCAAATACCGTATTTCTGGAGCCGCAAATCAGCGTGTGAACGCTCGGCCGCGTATTTGTCTCAGATTCGGTATTTCGCAAATACCGTATTTCTGGAGCCGCAAATCAGCGTGTGAACGCTCGGCCGCGTATTTGTCTCAGATTCGGTATTTCGCAAATACCGTATTTCTGGAGCCGCGAATCAGCGTGTGAACGCTCGGCCGCGTATTTGTCTCAGATTCGGTATTTCGCAAATACCGTATTTCATAAATACGAGGTCTCGTGTGAACGAGGCTAATGTAAATCCCACGTAAAGCAGATGATAAATAGCAGCACTGATGATGAATCGAAACAGTTTACAAATGCTACTACGTAGCCAGTTTGTTGAGAATCTTATCAGCTCCCTCTTGCAGCCGTAACATGTGAGCATCAAGCAGGTTCTCCAACTCATTCTGCTGCCGTTCCTCCTCTAGTAAGAACTTCCTCGTCACCGAATCTCTCTCCCTTTCAGTGGAGCTCAATTCTGTCTGGTTATTTTCACTCCACGTCGAGCAGTTGCGTAACAGCTGGTCAACGTTGGTGACGAACTCAACGAGAGCAGGGCTGGTGTCGTCAGGCCGAGGCGCGGAACCGTCCGCGCGCCTCCGCGTCTTCGGAGATTTCGGGGAAGGCCTCTCGCGTGCCGCAGCCTCGTCCAACCACGCGTGAAGCTGCGCTAGCGAATCCTCGAGTCGGCGAACGGTCTGCTTCAGGGTTGCGTTCTCTTCTTCCAGTTTTTTCGTGCCGTTTGCCATCTCTCTGCTCTCGCGCGTGCACCGTTCCTTCGCGGAACTTCGCAGCGCTGCATTTTCTCGCTGGAGGATGTCGATTTCGGCCAAACGAGTGCGTAGCTCTGCGGACTTCTGTTCGCTCTGCGCGGTCACGTCGCCCAGCTGCTTGTCAAGAAAGCTGGCGTTGTCGTTCATGGCCTTTATTGAAACAGCCTGCTGCTGCAGCAGTGCAGTCAGCTGGGCCCTCTCACCATGTGGATTGACACTCTGCGACGACCTCCCATCTGCTGTAGTTCGCTGCAGCAGCTGCTCGTATTGCGCCTTGTGAGCTACTTGCAGATCTCGTAGTGACTCACGCAGTTTTACGTTGACATTAAACTGCTCCGTCACGCTGCAGTTTGCTTGGTTGAAGGCAACCTCTAGATTATTGAGCCTGCTCTTGAGGGTGGCAGTGAGCTTTGCCTCCTCTTGTGCCTTCTGTAGCTGCTCCTGGCTATGGCTCAGCGCCTGCGTCAAGCTCTTGCTCTTACTTGAAAGCTCATTGTTTTTCTGTGTGAGAGCATCTACCTGGCACCTCATGCCCTCCTCCTTTTTGCCCCAATCCGACTCCTTGGTGGCAAAGTCATTCAGCTTCCGCCGCATTGCTTCTATTTCGTAGGCGGAGTGCTGCTGCTCCACGCTGGCTTGCTCCTGCATCTGGACCTTCGTCTGCTGGCGCTTCTCGTGTTTCCTGCACAAGCGGTCGTATTCGCGCCTCATCGTCAACAGCTGCTCACGAACACCAACCAACTCTTTCTCGTACTCCTGCACAGTTCTTCGATGTTTCGATTCCGCCAGCGAGACATTTTGCTGCAGTTTTGCAACCTCTGTCTGCGTCCATTCCAGCCTATCTCTTGTGGAGTCACACTCGGTCTGTCTGGTCTGCAGCTTCTGCTGAAGGCTTTTCACTTCCTGTTCCCACTTGGATGTTTTTGTGTTCATTACTATATCGATTTGTTTCATTAGCTCCTTCAGTTCTGTCTCACAATAATTCGCTAGGTAGCCATCAGTAGTCACTTTCTGCTGACGTAGTAGATCACTCAAAATTATCCGAGAGTGCTCCATGGTGATGGAATTCTGTGGAACAAGGAATATTTTATTTTATTTCAAAGTACTATACTCCCTATTCAATTAATTATATATTTGAGTTCGTATGTATCTATGTATGTATGTATCTTCCCTATAGGCGGCCAAACCGCCCAAGCGATCTGGATGCAATTTTCACAGGGCCATCTCTTATACCCGGGGAGTGTTCGTACGTCAATCTTCACACATTGTCAGCACTGACTGTACAGTGCTGCCACACAGCCCGATTATATCCGAATTTATTTGTGAACATCTGTAACGGCGGAGCGGCGGTGTTTACAAATTTTGTTTTGCACAGTTACCAACCTCATATCCTCAATAAGGAATATTCCTGAACTGTACTGAGGAAGGAGAGAACCATGTTATTGTATAATCGTCTTTTTCCTACATTGCCTGTTTAAATACGCTAAAAACGTGTTTGAATTGTTTGGAAACTTACACTTACAGTCGGAGTCGTTTTAGCTTGGTTTTAGTGGTAAGTATATCTGGCTATAGTAACTAGAGTCTAGTTAGTGCTTCATATCTCATTAGTCATATAGGGTTCTATCTAGTACTAGCTGAATAGTAATCCTCAGCGCAAATCCACTTTAGCACCGTTGGGTTATAGACCGTATCACTTAAGGCCGATTGAAAGTTATTTCATGTTTCTCTTGTCAGGCATATTTGAGGATTTTGAGTGAGGGATTTAGATCAACATTTCATCTCTTCATATACAAACCGTGAATGAACTTAGTGAGCGCCTGATGTATCAGGTCTTGTACTATATGCAAATAATATTGAAAAATTGTTCATAACTTCTTTTGTTGAAGTTTTACTTAAAATTCTTTACGTGTTTGTCTCCATTACTGATATACATGTAATGCTGACTGTAGATTTTTGATTTTGAGAACGGATATTTCAATCGGAATTTTTAATGCGGGCAATTTGCGTGCAGCGATGATGTTGAACTATTTTTGGTGGTCTGGGTGGTAAACTTGATGCGGGCTGACGAAAACTAAGATAAATAATGTTAACCCAACCAAGAGATATCCTGCTTGGGTTGGGTTGACATTATTGTATCTAAACGAGAACCATGGACATCAAGTCTTCATCAGCCTAAGTTTGATGCACTCAGATTTCGTTCAAGGATAGAGAACACTGGGTCCCAATATGAAACAATTGTCATTTACATCAATATAAATATTTATATAGTTATATCAATATAATAAGTTAGGGTTAATGGGTATGGATTGGTTAGGTTAGACACATTGGTTTTAATGGACCCCATGTCTGCTATCATTGGGGCCCAGATGTTCTGTGTATCTCCTGTGAGCAGACTTTCCAGTATATCAAGCGAATTGATGCAAAAACCTCACCTTGACCTAACTTCTAAGTCAGGGTGGCAATACTTTTCCAAAGCGAGTGCCGCATACAGTGGGCCATGAAAAGTCAAAGGGCCCACCTTTTAGAAATCCTCTCGCCCGCTCCCGGGCGGTGTCGCTCTAAGATAATTACGTTGCGTTTCGCCTCAAGGCGCGCCATCTCTCGGACGTATAATTGAGCCTGACATCGATTGCAGAGCGAACCATAGACAATTAAGAACACTAATCTGTATTGACACTGTGAAAAGTCACTTCGTTCAAGCGCACAAGAACATGTGACTTTCATCAAAATTTATGTGATTTAAAATAAAAATATTAGTATCTTTTTTATTTTATTTTTTTTCACATTTTTTTTATTTGCTGGCAGGCTCGTGGGCCCGCACAGAACCCGTAGAGGCCGTGATGGCTCGCCCGGCCCGCAAGTCTTGCCATCACGCCTGTGTCTAAGTCATTAAATGACTGAAAGTATAACTTAAGCAGAGGTATGTCACAAAGGTGTTGTTAGGGTTATGGGTTTTTTGCATTCATTTTCTTGATATAACGGAAAGTCTGTGTCATCAGTTGATGATACGAGAAAGATAAAAAAAAGAAAAATAAAAAAAAAAAAGAAATCTGTGTATCAACTTCTGATACTTAATTATGCGATCATTGCGAGTTGTTTTTCAGCGTTTTTTTTAGTTGTTTATTCTCACTCTCTAATGATGCTACCGTTTGTTGCTTGAAGTAACAGGTAATTGTTTGATAATAACAATAAAATGTTAGAACGCGGCATGCAAAGCGACAAAATCATATGCACGTTAAAGGTTTTGCATTCTCGTGTTGATTTTCGCTTTCATGTCTCTGCCACTTTCTCGGCGTACCGTAGAGAACGATTCAACAAGTACAGTAATGCAAAAATCCGCGACCGAGATATTTTTTTGGTCAGATGTAAATCACAGAGGTGCATAGTAGCATAACACAAAACAAAGTAAGTTTAACCTCATATACAATATGTAGTCTTTCAAAAAAGTTTTTTTTTCCCCCTATTGGAGCTTATAAACGAAGACGGAGAGAGGGAGTTGATCAAATCCTTCGGTTCGTACGCGCCAGTCGAGAATACATTATCAACACACAAATAATGCCCGGCTTTCTTTTTAATTATGTCGCTTTGTTTGAGACGCAATTTGTGATTTTTTTGAAAGTCTCTACTCGAAAAAATGGTATTTCCTGTATGATGTGGTTCAAATCAATTTTCTATGGCATATAACTGCATTAAATATTGGTGTTTTGAATGTTTGTGTAATCATTGATATTTTTGTCTGTTCATGTAGACATATTTCAGCTATATTTAAGTTTTATCTAGCAAAATTTTCTCTTGCAATGATGTTTTAAGGTGTCCTAAAGTGATTGGCACCGTATACTATGTCCCTCCAGGGTACTCGGAACGTACTCCTGTATCTATCTAAGTATGTCGACTCGTACTTCGCTTGCTCCAACTACTAACGGAGTCTAGGAGTCGCCTACGCTCCTTAGCCTACACCTACTCCCTAACCCTAACACTAACCATCAACGTAACTCCCAATCCTAATCCCTAACCACTATCAAATAGTGACCCAAGGGTCCTTCCGGCAAGTACCTCTGGGGGACACCGACCCTATGACGTATGTTTAGTAGCAGAGTGTCTTACCCGTATAGTGAATCCGCGGCAAAGTCGTGCAACCTATATCTGACGGCTGCCGGGCACGGTCTTCAGATTTTCTAATGCCTGGCAGTTTTTAATTTTCAACGGTATCTCAAGTAAACAAGGGTTAGGGAGGTTTAAGGAACCTTGCCCGGGCATTAGGACACAAATGACCGGTCCGGCTGCCTGGGCATTATAGCCACAGCGAAGTTATATATTTCATGTTTTATTTAACCATTTCATTTTATTATTGAATTACGTACCAAGTGGCATGTGACTCATGAACCTGAAACTATCACCTAAATTAATATTTATATTCTTAATATAATAATTTTTTAAATATATACATTAATAGCTGCGCGGGTACTCCGCTGCGCTTGGGTAAAATCCGGTGTACTAAATTCATCACTTAATAAATTGGACACATAGAATCATTGGTAAAAATGCGATCAATATAACATTGCACACAATTATCAGTATTTACATATCAGGTGTAATAAGATAAGTTAGCAATGGGAAAAACTGTTACGTTATGAATATTAAATATACTAGCACAACCGAATATAGAACCCTGTAGACATAATAGAAATATTGCTGGGCAAATGAGAAAAGTTTATTATAACAGCATTACGATGGGTTTGCAGTTTTCCTTTGAAAGCCTCAAAGATAAACAATGTTTGCTCGTGTTATTTGTCCCCTTGGCTGGACTAAATATAGTAGAGATTGCTGCGTCTTCGAACTGTTGAGCTCACTCAGTAACAGCTCTCGCATTGTCATGATCGTAGGATGAATAAACGAGACATTGGGTTATAATAGTATGATGATAGTAGACAGGCCAGCGTAGTGGGGGTCTAGGTCAAATCTGGATATTGTCTAGATGAATGCTGGGCGGACAAACCATGCACATTGAAAATTCAATAAAGGAATTTTTCTATACTGATTCAGAGAAAGCATAGCTTTCGATGGTACATATGGATATCTGAATGTAGCATGAATATAAAAAGTCGATATATATGTTATAGCAGACTAGGCCAGCGAAGTGGGGGAAATTTGTAATTATACAAAAGAAGTTTTAACTCACTTGGTACGCGTTTATGTCGTTGATGTTTTGAAGGATCCGTAACCTCTTCAAAACTAGGTATAATACTCATACTAACTATAATGAATCTCTATAAATATTTATCAAATGAGTGTATATCAGATTTAAATAGAGCATTGGTAAAAAACGGTTTTACTATGACATTTATATGACAGCACAACCCAAACGTAGAACGCTGGAACATAATAGTAATATGGTTGTAAATAAAGAAACAAGTATTCAACAGCAGTGTAGGAATGGTTGCACTTCTCATTTAAGCCTCTTGATAAACAATGCAGTCGTAACCTCTGAACAGGTTCCTGTTGTCCTGTTTTAGTACCGCTGGTTTCGGTTTCCAACAATACCGACAAGCTGATGAATTGAGTCTATCTCGATTTTTCTG